TAAATGAGAGGTTATGACATAAATCTTATTATGTTTTATTATTGAGCATAAACCAAAATGAATATTTAGATTGAAAAATAAAAAAAAGATCATCTACACATTAATTTAATTAAATTTATTATTAAGATAAATTCAATGATACGAAAAATTATTTGATCTTACTTTGAATGAGTCCAAATCATGTACTTGAAACATGATTGAAAATTTTGTGACATTAATTTAATAATCAAGTGATATTTGAATCATGTGTGCTTATGATCAAAATGAGCAACTTGATGAAAGAAATCCCATGATCCCCATAGTCACTCCATTATGAGGTCATTACGATATTTTTAAGCATTGAAAGAACTATTTTTTATCAAGGGAATTAAAATTGACCTTGTGATGGCTTGTTTTAAGAATTTCATTTAAATTTATCAAAATGAAACTCTAAAAAATTAGAAATAAACCTTCATTGCCCATGTGAAGAGGGCCTTGAGAGCATGATCTTGAAATTGGGGAGAGCTTGAAGTGCTGAAAAACCTTAAGCTTTGCTCAATATTTGACTTAGATGATCATCGACAACAACTATCGTAGCTCGACTACATTCTCCTAATTACCATTGCCTTGTTTGATTACAATATATTGATGAACATCTTTGGACTATAGTCTCTTGACTTTGATCTTTTAATCATCATCGCTCGATCACCATCTTTAGTTAATTTCATTATTTGCCTTCACAAACAATGTTACTGCTTTCCATCAACTATAAGATTGATGCTTGCTGTCAATTTCCAACTTAGTCAGTTGCCATCATCAACAACATTGATCCACATCATTGACTATAAGATTGATATACATTAAGCTTTTTATATGTTTAATTTTCCAACACTACCTTATCCTTTATTCACAAACTTTGACACGTGTAATCTCTAATAATGTTAAAGCACACCACCACTTATATGATTGATGCACGCCGTCAACAAAAACATAGATGCCCACAAACTTTCTTGGTCCTTATTGTCGCCAACATCAACGTATGCTATTACCCATAAGGCTAATGTACATTATTGACACATATATCAATTTCCATTGATTTCATCATCCATCGTTGTCAATAATATTGATGCAAGTCATCACTTATAAGGTCAATACACATTGACAAAAATGCAGACACTCATTTACTCTTTTACCCACTGTCATTACCAAATCAATGCATGCTATTGCTTATAAAGGCCGATGCATGCTATCAAAATAAAATGCTGGCTTTCGCCCCCTGCAATCCCTAACAAAATTAATGCACAACATCACTTATAAGAAAGATGCAACCCATTTGACACTAATGTTGATACCCACTGACTTTGTTATGCAGCATTGCCCATGACATCAATGCACACCATTGTTAATAGTATCGATGCATGACTTTTACTCTGTTAACTATATTATGTATATTGGATTTTTTTGTCTCTACTCCCTCTTAATAATGAAAATTGATTGAACATATCATAAATGACATATTGAAGATGTCTTTAATGTTTCAAAGCTCTTCTAATTTCCACAATGAATTCTATCATTCATAGTTCATATTTTTTATATTGTATCAACATTTTGCTTGATTACAGAAAATGTCATCATTTGTAAAATATAACATATACTAATAAAATTATTTCAAATGGGTTAAGCACCATAATTTTTTGTAAAATATAATTTGGATAGAGCAAAAAAATAAATTCCTTAAGTTCCTTCCTATTTTATTTATTTATAAAACTAACATCATTCAAATTTTTTTGAATTATTGAATTAATTTATTTTAGAGTGCCTCAATCAAATTGTTAAAAATTTGATAAAAACAAGAAACTAAAAAATATAATTTTATTATGATTTTTTATATTTGAGATTGATAACTTAAAAAAATAGATGTAAAATCTTAATTTATAAAAACAATTAATTTCGTTCCTCCCAATATAAAAAAAAAAGGTGTCGATGCATTCCCGTTTTACTGCTAACGAAGTCCCCCATATCTTTCTGTTTCTCGTCTCCGTATGTTCGCTTGATCCGCTCGCCACGGGAAGAGGTGAGTTTCTTAAGATCACTGTTTGCTTCTTGCTCCGATTTTTCATTTCGCCTTCTGATTGGCGAGCGGATAAATGGAATAGACCTGCTTGCGTGCTCCAGGGAATTGATACGAGTAAAGATACATTTCGACTTGCTCTTGAAACTTAAATTCCCGACTTATAAATCCGTACATACAATCTACCTCTTTTGATTTTTCCCCCTTTTACATGGAATTGGGCATTAGGGTTTCAGTTGCGCTGAGCTTCTTACCTGTTTAATTTCCCGACAGTACCCTACCTTTTCTCTATCGTGACAAAAAATGAGTAGTGTAAGCGTTCTTTGCCTAAAAATGCACCTTTCTGTTATAAATTGGATTTTAAGGAGTAAATAGCTCGATGGACAAAATAGTAACGGCCTAGTTTATGAACCAATACGAGATTCATTGTGAGATAATATCGTCGTGAGAATTTTTTTAGATGTGGATTTTAGTTTATTCAAGTGGTTAGTTTTCATGTATATAATTATAGAGCGTATTCATATTCTTTAATAAAAATATTAAGATACTTAGTTTTAGTTCAACATGTCGACTATTATTTAAATCCCAAGTTCTGAAGGCAATCACCATTTTTACTGAAAATACAGCTAAGGAAATAAATTATAAAGTAAAGCACGTGTAAATAAAATTATGTTTGACAATTATGTTATATGTTAAAGATAAGAAGGATAGAACTCGTGAATCATACCTTGTTTATACTTTATACAAATAGAAAAGATATTTTTTGTTTTTTGATATAATTGATGAAATGATTAAATGCCATTTAAGGGGCCATAAATAAGAAATCATAAGTACTTAATGTAAGACCTTTTTTGCGTTATTAGAAATAAGATATTTTATTGAAAAAAGTTAGATCCAAAAGTAAATTATTTTAGTTGCTAAAGTTTTTTAAATTAATTATATTGATTCATTTGCTTTAGAATTTGTGGTTGCTATACTGTGATACAATCATCAAGATACTCAACTGATGCAAGCCTTTATTCACTACATGGACCCTATTTACCCAACGCTTCCACAACCTCTTATTTTATTTCATTTCTCTTCCATATAACTCCCACACTTCTATCTCACGGGTTAGTTTATAACAATTATCATTGATTATTTTGATGTTATCCCCATTGCACTACTTCCTTTCCCCTATCATTTTCCTTGCACCACCTATCCTTCTAATCTCCTTTCAAGCTTCTCACTAATAGGAACAAATCGTCATTTATGTGCTTGACTCCCTCTTTCTTTCCATCTTATTTAAAATTACAAGAGTTCACTCTACCTCCCTCTTGCCTAAACTACTCATAAAGGTTTGTCACACAATTATGGATTCCTCTCCCATTCGTTTGCTATCTCTCCCCCCACCCCGTGTTAGTCTCTTAGAACTATCATTGCCATTTATGATTTTGGCTATTGCAGTCGTGTTAGTCTCTTCCTGCTGCTAACTCTCTCCTTGTTATGCAACGTTGTCATAATCATTTCCTGAACCATTACAATGTCCTTCTTTCTGCACGAACTGACTTCACAATGTCTAGCTTTGCTAATCGAACTCCTCTATGGCTATACTATTAATGTGGATTTGAGTTTAACCTCTTTATGATATGACAGCTTGTATGTGCTGAGTTGTGATATGAAAATGGATTGACAACATTCACATCTGCTTCGAATTTTGGTCAATTCCCATTCAATTATAGGTAGGTCTGCCCAAACTCACTTGTAGACATGCCTTTATGCCATTTTTTTTCCCTTGAATTGAAAGAAGCCAGATGAAAATGAAAGTAGAGAAATATGATTTAAAAAGCTTTATTTAGCCACATTGCATGGACATTGCACGAGGATTATAATAATGTTGGAAGAGGATGTGAAAATAATTATTATATAATCATAAATATTGCTGAATGTATGATAGTATTTATTCATGAAAGCAATGCATTGAAAGAAAACTTGGTTAGATTTTGTCTTATCTTCCACAGTTCGTCATCTAAGTTTTTAGATTGTTAATTGGAGGATAATTGTGTGATAAAAGGAGTTATCATACGCCCGCTATATAATTTCCCTCATGTGCATTGGATGAGAAAATATAGGTTCCATTCTCCTTTGGAGGAAATCATTTTTGCTTCCATTTTTTTTATGTATTAAGCCATCCTTGGTTCCCTTTTTACAGTGTTTCCCCTATGCAGCAATGCGTCACCAATTGGATTTGACCTAGGGAGATTTGTTATTTCTTGAGCCAATAAGATATTAACTACTAAATTGATTGTAGGTTATGCATTATAAATCTGAATTACAAATCTAACCTAGCTTGTCATTTAGTTTATAATGCGAACTAATCTTGCTGACAAAGCTTTTGCAAAACTTGTCATTCCTAAAATTAAGATATAGACATAGAGGCGCATTTAGTGGAGCTGTGCTGATGCTGTGCTTTTATTGTGCTGAATTAAATAAATTATTATACTCTTACCTAGAAACAAGTTACTGTACAAGTTAGCAAATATGCTCATGAAACATTGATGCAACCAAAATTTTGGAAAAAAAAACTAAGATTGTATACATTATCGTCTTCCTTTCAAAAATGACAAAATTTAACAACAAAGACAAACAAAAACCATAAAACTTATATTAATTTAGAGAAGAAGGATATAAATGGGGTGGACACTTGCAGAGAGAAGAAATAGATAAGAAGCCTGAGACGAAATCAAAGAGAGGAGAAGAAGAAGTGGATAAAGCTTGCAAGTTATCCAAGAAAAACCCTCAGGTTTTAGTTCCAAAAATTATCAATTATTTTCTTTTTAATACCTCAAAACAACATCTATTTATAGGAGAAGAGAGGGAGCTAAACAACCCATATAGCCGCCCAATCAAACCAATCAGAAAAGGGGAGGCAAAAGGCTAACAGGCAACCGACTGGAGCAGCACACGAAGGATCACGTGGGAGATAGCCAACGAACGGACAACGCTAGGGGGAAGGAACCGAAGCATCAAAACAGCCCCAAAAGTGGGGGAAAACCGAAGCATTAAATGGCTCATAAAGGGGAAACCAAAAATGCATCTTTTGGGAATTAAAATTGGCATGGGGAACACCAAAAGACCTCTTTTGCCTACATCAAACATAGAGAAGGTACATACATAAAATGCTTATTTTCTTAGCATATTTCTTATATTATAAAAAGTTACTTTTTGAAAAGTTAAGCAGGAGAAAAATGAATAACAACAAAAACAACACCAACATCAAGCCTTTATCTCACCAAGTGGGGTTGGCTACAGGAATTCTTTTTCTCTATTGTATCCTATTAAGTGTTAAATTCTCATTTCAATGTAAAAAAAAAAAAAAAGAATCCCAACAAAGTTTAAAACATGATAACCAATAGTAACATATTTTATTTTTAAGCTTCTCATGGATATAGAGTAGTTTCGACAATCATGAAAATTCAGATAGTAAATCTGTACTTTAGAAAGGTAAATGTAAAATTTCCTTTCAAATTGCTAGCTAAAATTTGATTCAATTACCATCCCAGAATAGTGTGACATGGCCATAAATTTACTAATATATCTATCAACACCATGTTGCTAACCCATTAGAAAGGTTGACAGATTGCCACATCTGCCTACAGTCAAATGGTTATTAGTACAAGCTTCATTTTTACACTTCTGGAGCTGGTGTGGAGTCATTTCAGGAGAGATGATCATGGTAGAAGCGCTGAGATGCCTGATTTGGGGATTTTTGGGCGGAATGAATTTAATGCTTCTCTGTGCCTTATTATTTAATTTGTTAGATCATGGATACCCAACTGAAGAAGGTAACTCATTTTGTGGGCCTAGAGTTTTTGGTTTAATTCCATATTAGTCTCAGACTCTGTGATCAGTTACAACCAGCATGCTCTGTGTGCGCTTTATCCCTCTTGTTCTTTAAATAAGTTATTGTTGCGAAAGATGTGTTAGGTTGATCCTATTCTGAAGCAGTGAAGAGAGCGAAGTTAGTTTGTTTACTTATTTGATGAATTGGGCTTAGCTTTTTGGTTTACTTTAGGTTTAGCTTTAAGACTTACAATTTGGTATATTTTATTTGCTTTCAATAAATTTTGATTTTCTAAGTTCATTGATCATCTTCAACTGAATTGTGCTATACTCTGATAATTTTATTATGTTGTTTTCTGCCACCATCGTGAACTGAGTTTATAAACTTTTTTTAAGATCCAAATGGCATATGACATGATCTATATTCTTACATCCAGAATTCCAATCTTGATCTCTCTAGAACTCAAGCACATTGTTTCCTATTACAATCTTTGGGGATTTATGGTTACGTGACTCTTTGAGAACTTTGCAAAACGTAAAATAACTTTAATTATCACGGGGACAAGATTTTACCTGGGGAATGTTCAAACAATTGTCAGATCAGCTTTCAGATTTGTTAATTTGTTTGACTTGCAAAATTGCTAAGTAGGTTTATCTGATTTCTTCGTGCCTTTTATTTGAAAGTTTATCCATTGAGCTAACCTTTTTGTTGGGATTGGTAAGCTGCCACTCTGAGTTTCTGAAGGTAGAGTTTCATGGTTTTTCTTAAAGCTTTATCAAGGAACATAGATTTTGTTCTAATATTGGGAAAAAAGTGAACTTTGGAGTCATAACCTCTTGCTAGTTCATAATATCATTCATTTCATACATTATGCTCGTCCATTTATGTTAGCTTTCTGCTTTGCTTTTTATATTCCTTACCGGGCATCTTCCTCATAAAGCTATTTCCTAAACTAGGGATTCCTCTGTTCATGTAATTTAATAGTTTTTTTATGATTAAGACGGTTAACTAATGCTCAATTATCATCCTGTGTTGATAAAGTTGATATGTGTGACTGTTTTTGAAAGAAGTGCTTCTTTATATGTAAGATGTCTAATTCTGTTGGTGTTATTGTATTATCTAATAGCTGTCTTCAATGGGATCGGCCGAGAATAAAAACATGTACTACTCATTGGACAAGGAACCCTTGGAGGATGAGGATTCCGCACTCATGAAAACCGTCAAAGCAGCTACCTCGGGTTTCGTTGCTGGGACCATATGGGGTACAGTTGTTGCCACATGGTATGATGTACCTCGTGTAGAACGACATGTGGCACTTCCAGGCCTGATTAGAACCTTGAAGATTTGTGGTAACTATGGTTTGACATTTGCTGCCGTTGGAGGCATTTACATTGGAGTTGAGCAGTTGGTTCTGAAGCAAAGAGTTAAGAGGGATTTCATAAATGGTGCGGTGGGTGCTTTTGTGGCTGGAGCATCTGTTTATGGTCTCAAAGGTAATCTTCTCCCACAGCGGGGTTTTCATCTCCTCACCAGATTTTAAATGCCAATTATTTTCATGTTTGTTTATTATCTTCTTATACTTTATGTTACTCCATAACCAACATGAAATAAATTTCCTCAGTCTGCTCTTATTTGTATTGACCGCTATGCCTTTATCTTTCCAACGTTTCTATTATGTACGAGTAAGTAAACTTGAATTTTACATATATTTGTCTAGCTTCTGTCTTAACTATCAAGGTACAGGCAAGCTTGAATTTTAAACACTCCTGATTTATTTAGTTTCATTATGAAGCTGTAGAAAAAAGTTTTTTTCCGCCTTCTGTTTAGAACAATCTGGCTACTTTTTTTTAATGAAGTCTAATCCAAAACCACCTATTTTTTTGTATATAGTCTAATCCAAAACCATTTTGGTTACGATATGCAATCAAAATCTTCCAAGTTAATTGGAAGAAGTCTTTGGGTGTTTAGCATGTAATTATGTCACCTAATTACAGTATATGGTTGAAGGGACGTACTCTTCCCAATCTAATAGTATTCATAACAATATATTAAGATCACAAGTCTTCCCATAAGTTTTAGGATATGCTGCCAAGTGGATCTATTAATGAAAGAAGGTCCAATATGAGTGATTAGGTTTCTAAACTAGATCTTAGAAAACGCAGAGAACAAATCTTAAATTTACTGGGCAATATGAAATGATTTTACTAATAAAACTTAAAGACGCTATTAGCCTCCTTGGAAAAGTTTTTCTTGTCCTTTGTCTTCTGACTAAGAGCTGCCATAACTTTTCCTTTGTGAAAAAGCTTGTTATTTTTAACTCCTCCCTTATTTCAGAACAACAGTGTGACATATCTTGCTGTTTGACAGAGACGACAGTATAGGGAAGTAGCAGACAGACTTGATTTCCTCTCTAGTTCATTTCCTGTCGGTTGTAGGTGGTCGAAGGCTGAGTTGCCTCAATTTCCTGAACTGGCTGATTGTAGCAGGAGAAATAGGGGGGAGAGAGAGAATGACATTGAAGCCTATGTTTCTTTTGTTATGGGGCTGACAGGTAGCGTGATATAGAGGGGTTTGAATAAAATAAAACGAGAATTTTATTCACTCCTTTCAGTTTTCACTGATTACAAGTTGATATCTTTATATACAGAGATTGAAAGAAAAATCTCAAAACATTCAATTTTCACTGAAATTTCGGAAATATGAACTAATTCCACACAAATAGCTAACTAAATAGTAGAAACTAAGAATGAATATAGAAATATGAATTTACACTAAAAACAAGCACGTCATTCAAAAATCTTCTTGAGTTTCTCCTCAATGTGATCGTTTCTTGCATGTGGATATATTGATTGCTATTTTGATACTGAACTGCAGAATGCATACCTTTTTTTGGAAATCCAAATTTGAATCCCTTTTAGAGTTCCTAACTTCTTCTGGAATGTCTTTGAAGGTTGTGCTTGATCAATCTCATCAAGGATATTTGCTTTAGCAATTAAGAACTCTTGGAAATCTTTGGAAAATCTGAGAATTATCCAGAAGTTTGTAAATTAATCTGGAATACTTCAGAAAATTCAAAAAATTTATGATGTTGGAATCCTCCTGGATCAAGGCTCTCCCTTTTAAGTTCCTTTTGCTTCTGCAAACGATCACAATCATATATTCCTTTTGGATCAAGGCTTGTCTTTTGAGTTGTTTTTTTACTCCTGCAAAGGATCATATTCATATCTTCCTCTATAATAAGCTCATTTTTGGCCTTCTTTCTCTTTGTCTTGCTTACATTGGCAACAGAATAATTAAAACAACTTCGTTTGAAGCTGAGCATGCCTAGGCCTCTCTCGCTTCCTTTTCTTCCTCTTGGAGTTACTTGCTTGTGCTTCTAGAGCTGCTAGTGGTGCTTTTGGTGTTACTTTTTGTTATTTTGTCCTAGATTGAACTTGCATAGTTCCTTGATTCTTATGTATTAATATGCATTTCCTACGAATTTAATCTTAGTTCCATTTAAATATAAAAATATGCCTATGTTGCCAGCTCCCATATGGACTTTTGATGTGTTCTCCAGTATTTTGAAAAACGTGTTATGTTTTGATTGCATGATTTCAAATCAGCCCTTGGAATTTCAAATAGCACAGATGGAGTTCTAAATATGGCTGCTTTTATTCATCATTTCTGTAGTGCCATTATGTTGTTGTTGCTTTGAGTTTACTGAGTATTTTTCTCAGTTTTCGTACTATTATCTTCTATTTCCGTTTATTGCATTAGCGCCTTGAAGGATTTCCGCTATATGCCTGGTTGCCTTTGCTCGTCTTTTCTGTTGGTTGTGTGTTACTGCCTGCAGACTTCCTGCTATTGCTTTCCTCGCACATTAAGTCACCGTTCTGCCTTCTCTAATTGCTGTTAATTACTCATTTACTCTTAACTGCGGTTACATGCCCTCTCTTATGCCGCCTCTCTGCTCATGGTAAATTGTTTTCTATTTTGCTAGTGAACTTACGGAAAGGTTTGGTATATTTTTGGATGTGTTGAAAACTAATGTTGTGAGTTTTTAATACATTTTGTTTAGTTTTTTAATTTAAGTTTGTTGAAGGTTATAAATATGATCTTTGAGGCATGCAAAATGGAGTTAACAATGAGTTTTGAATTACAATTTCAGTTTTACTCTTTCTTATTCGGGTGATTATTGGATGTGAGATATATGAGTGTTTTCTAATTGCAGATGATTACTTTTACAGCCAAACTCCTTAGAACAATGTGCTGTTTGGTTCTTTCGTTTGGGGTGATTTTCTATAATTATTCATGTATTTTAAATTATTTAGTCAATGATTTTTTGCGTGGTTGAAATCTTGTCAAGTGGGATACCTTTTGTTTTTTTTAGAGCATGATCTTGATCAGTTGATTTTTTTATTTATTTTATATTTAACGTACTTTTCTTATGAAAATTCAGATTTTAGGTGATTGTTATAGATAAATTTTACTTTATGTGATATGGCCTATTTAGAGTCTAAAGGTTTTCGCTTGAGTAGATCTAAAACGGAATATATGGAGTGTAATTTTAGTAGTAATAGACCTAGTGAGGGGATTGTGACTTTGGGCGATCAAGTCATTAATAAGAGTACACGTTTTAGATATCTTGGATCTATTGTTCAGAGTGATGGTGAAATAGATGGGGATATTATCAGCAGAATTCAAGTTGGATGGTTGAAGTGGAGGAATGCATCGGGCTTGTTATGTGATAGAAATGTACCCCTCAAACTTAAGGGAAAATTCTATAAGATGGTAGTGAGGCCTGCAATGCTTTATGGTGCCGAATGTTGGCCTTTAAAAGAGAAGCATAATACTAAGTTAAGTGTGGCAGAGATGAGGATGCTCAGGTGGATGAGTGGCTTTACCCTTAGAGATGGGATACGAAATGAGCATATACGTGAAAAGGTTGGAGTAGCTCTAGTAGAAGATAAGATTAGAGAAAGTCGCCTTAGATGGTTTGGTCACATAAAACGGCGGCCTTGTGATGACCCGGTTAGGAGAGTAGAGGTATTAGATTTGACTTATGTTAAGAAAGGTAGGGGTAGACCTAAAAAGACTTGGTTAGAAAATATTAGGAATGACCTTTCTTTATTAGATTTAAACGAGAATTTGACTTTTAATAGGACACAATGGAGAAAAAAGATTCATGTAGCCGACCCCACGTAGTGGGATAAAGGCTTGATGTTGTTGTTGTTGATATGGTCTATAATGTCCGAAATTAGAGAAATATAAATATACTTATTATTTTATTTATTGGGGAAATGTGTCCAAACGTTTTGTTCTGATAAAAAAAACTCCAGAATTCGAAGGGATGCTTGAGCATTATATAAGTGAATTTTCGAGCTAGAAGTTGCTCGATATTTCATATTCTTAGCACCTGTTTGTCTCTAGCTATTGTCATTTTCGAGTTGGGATTTTGCGCAAAGTTCCAATGTAAAGTTCACACTCTATCTCTGGCTCGCTATTCAATCTTAGTGACGCTAAGCTTAAGTATCTAATTTTGACAACATCATTCTCTTTAAATATAAACCTTCAACTCATAAGGACATTAGACATTATATTAAAAGTTTCAAATATTGATCTAAACTTATTTTGTCCTTTATCAAAATATGTTTGGTCTTGATCAACTGTTGTTCAAAATTTTTTTGAATTTTGTTCGTATTTTCAAACAAGGTTTGAATAATTATCGAAGAATGTTCAATCATAATTCAAAATATTTCGAACAAGATTCTATCAATACAGGAAATTGTTCAAATAATTAAAATAAATTTTAGCAAGGTTGGTCCATATTTAATCAAGGTTTGAGCAAAATTAGAGCAATACTAAATCAAGTTTTGAATATTATTTGATTATAGCATAAACATAATTCAAATTTATTATATTATACACACAATCTCTTTTGGAATTGACTCATTTGAGTTCTCCAACTATGTTTGCAGATCCCTGCTCTAATTATATATGGAGAGCAACTTATACTGCTGGGTTCACATGTAGAGTTGGGGGTGTGATTTGACAATTTGAGGCTAATAATATCATTATTTTGAATGTGAGAGGCAAAGAGATAATATTTGTCTTTGCTGAATTTGTATTGATGAATAATTTAATGTGTTGGTGAAGATTAATGTAAATGCGGGCCTTTTAATTAAGTGTTGTTGTTAGGTAAAAGTTTTTTCTTTTTCTAAAATAATGTGTTAGATTGGGTCCCTTTTGGCCTTGTGCTGCCGGTCCTTTCCTGGACCGGCTCTTGGGGTCTGATTTGGAGGAGATTAATTAAGAAATATTTTCTAATTGAAGAAGGTAGATTTGGGGGCTAATTTGGAGGAGATTAATTTGGAAATATTTCCTAATTGAATAGTGTAGATTTGGGGACTGATTTATAGGGGATTAATCATGAAATGTTTTCTAATTGAAGAGGGCATATTTGTGGGGTTGATTTGGGGGCTGATTTGAGAGGGAACTAATTAAGGAAATA